ATATAAATGTCTACCAAAAAGTGAAATATAGAGCTATTATAAAAATTTGAGATCTTTGTACTGCATTTGCAGCTACAGAACCTAATTTGTGCTAAAAACAAAGGGTTTTTGCACTACTATCACAGCTACAGAGCCCTATTGCAACTTATCAGAACTATTTAGATTGATAAATTAATGCCTTATATTGATAGGTGAGAAAAAGATAAGATAAAGAGTCAGTCTTCTACAAGGTGAACAATAGCGAAAAGGAAGATAACCTTCTCTAATCAAGAAAAAATTCTTAAATAATTCATCATGATTATATTTTTGCCTTTTTGCCCTAATGATATTATGCTACAAGCATATGATTTTGTTTTATCATTGTAAAAAAAATCTTTAATATTATTTGAAACAGACATTTAGGGAATTAACTTACAATTATCAATAGTACCAGAATCTATCAACTCTTCAAGTAATGATTCAGGATATTACTTTGTTATATACATAAATATTCAGATCTAATAATAAAATATATTGACATTAATATTTCTTTTTTGTTGCTGAATATTATTGTCTGAATAGATAGGCTAATATATATCAATGCTCAATAAGAGTTTAAAATCATTCAAATTATTTAATTGTAATAATAACTAATAAAATAAAAACTGTGATCATATAATATTCGTCTTTCTTGCCTTTCTTTAATATTAAAATTGAAGCTAACTCATGAATGTATGCACATGGTTCTCTACAAATTAACAATAAAACAATATCAATAACTTAATAATTATAAAATTATTGTATATAAAGAATTATGTGCAAGAAGTCAGTTTCATCAAATATATAACGATTAATTAACATTATTAAAAAGATTTTTCATATATTAACTCGAAGTTTTTGCATTAAAACTTCACAATTACAAGCTTTAATTGAATTTCTTTATCTAATAAATATACAATGATCAAATGTTCGAAGAAACCATTAGCAAAGATGATATACTACCAGAATTTGAAGTTACTTATAATTTTGATAAATATAGGAATTTTTTAGATATTGATAACAATTTAAACATTAATAATTTAAGTGAAGATGTTAACTTAAATGATGATGATAATTTAAATAATGATAATTCAAGTCAAGATGATAATTCAAACAAAGATGATGATAACCTTATGGTTCAATTCTTACCTATTACTAGATATTTTTTACTATCTGAAGCTTCTACCAAATCAAAATCAAAGACAATAAATAAAAAAAAGGCCTGTAAAAAGCTGGGTATAGAAATATACTCACGAGATAAATTAACTAAAAAAAATATTGTTTAGTTTATATAGATAATGGTAATGGTACTTCTGAATATTGCAAAACAGTATTTAAGTCCAAAACATCAACATCAAGTATAGCTGCATATTTATGCACTAAACACTGAATTTTTAAAGTGAAAAAATAAAAAGCACAACTATCTACATCATCAACTACTCAACTAATAATCAATACATTATTCCAAAATCAAGCAGAAAACACTATACCTTTTTCAGAAAATCAACAAACTCATATTACATATCGATTAGTTACCTGGATAGTAGAATCAATAATGCCTTTAGATTGTATAAATAATGACTGGTTTCAGGATTTTTTTGTTATGAGATTAATAGACGATTTGAGGTTCCTTGCATTAATACAGTTAAAAACATAATTAAAGAATCAGTACTTTATATGCATACTACTTTAAAGAAGATAATATACCAAACTATGATTTCTGTTTGTATAACAACTGATCTATAGACACAAAATCATGTTTTATATATTGGTATCACTGCATATTGGCTTTTTGAAGATTTCACCATATACTAATCTCTAATCACAATTGAGAATTTTCTTTACCCACATACAGGAGATCAAATCAAAGATTTTTTACGTAAAGTTCTTGTTGAGTGAGAGATATTTGACAAACTTAGTACTATAATAACTGATAATACAATATTCATAGTGAAAGCAATTTGACAATTAGGTACTAACCATCTTGGTTGTATAGCCCACACTCTTCATCTTGCAGTTACAGATGGTTTGAAAAAATGCGAAGCCTTAATTAGATGTACAAAATTATTAAATAATTTTTTAGTAAAACACGATAAATACAGGTAAAGATAGTGATCAACTAAATGCTTTTGATATTCAATTTTTTTAAATATAACAGTGATAATATAATGCAAATCATCTCTTCGGTGTTATCTAAATAATTTATAAGTCACCAACCAAATAAAAAAAAAATTGTAAATTTATAGATCTTATTTCTAACTATAAAATTACATATTATTTTTTTTTTTTGCAAATTGCAACTTTGGGTACCTTTAGATAATTTGCACTATATATCAGATTGAATTTAATAAATGTTACATTAAGGGGTTTCAAAATTAAAATTAGCAAATTTTATTTTATTTTCCAATTTATAATTCAATAGTAAAAATACTATTGAAAACATCCTACTTATTTTTGAAATACATTACTTATTTGTTAATTTTAAAACCCATTATAAATGATCATATTAATAAAAAATCTCAGTAACTAATAAGAAGGTAATTAACTATAATGTGATCAGTCATCATCTATATCTAAATATAGATTGTAATTTCAAAAGATTCAACGTGAAATAATCAAAAAAAAAGAAATACAAGTCAGTCTATTATAGATATATGTATCTTAGAGCCTATATCAAGTGATACCACTACTAGATGGAACTTTACTTTTTTTATTTTAAAGCGTCTTTTTGAACTTTGGGAACCTATTGCAGAATTGACCACAAGATTAATAAATAACCCAGACTATATAGTCAATGCCAATAGTAATATTCTAAAAGAAAAAAAGTATTGAAATACACAAGACTCTCTATACATCACTAGTATCTCGATAGAACAATTCAAAAATGGATAGATAGCTAGCAATATTCCTTGATCTTCACTTTAAAACATTATCAACTGTATCATCTACAATATAACAAGAGACAATGCAAGAGTTACATAGAAGGTTTGAACTTTCTCAGCAAGAAAATAGTATACTACTGATTAATCAAGTTTCAAAAACTGATATGGCCTCTTTCTTTGATGATAGAATAGAATCTTCCTCCTTTTCTTCTATTGATATTGAACTTCAAATGTATTGCTCAATTCTAAAAATCTCTAAGTATGATTCTAAAGACTCACTTTATGAAAAAATATAATCTATTGAATTAGTGAAGAGAGTATAAAAGCTTATTACCTCTTCTTGCAAAGCAAGCACAAATTTTTCTAGGAATACTAGCAACTTCTGTTCCTTCAGAATGGTTATTTTCTGATACAGACAATACTATAACCAATAAATATAACTACCTTAAACCTGATACAGTTCATGATCTATTATTCTTAAAAGAAAACTCTAAAATTATTAATGTGTATCCTTGTTTATGATAGAATAGATATGCAAATCATATTGATATAAATTTTAAATCTTAAAAAAAAACTTTGAATTTTTAAAAAATTTTGAATTTTTAAGAAACTTTAAATTTTCAAAAAAACTTTAAATTTTATTTAGTTTTACTTTCTATATTACAATTCATATCAATGCCATATAAAAAAATTAGACTAGAAATAACTTTGGTAAATAAAATATTGATTTAAATAAGATCTATGTGTATATACTATGTATATATATACGTTCTTGCAGATAAAGCAATAATAATGATTGACTATCTTACAAAACTATATAATGATAAGATTTATAAGATTTGGTTATATGATAAAAGCTGACCAATCAGATTAGTGATATCTTCATAGTCGATTTTAGTCGACTAAGCCAATTTTGAAAAATCGATTTAGTTGAGTCGATAAATTTAGATCAACTACAAACACTAGTCATAACAAGTTCTAAAAGAAGGCTATTTCTTAAACTTTAGGCAAATTTGCCTGAAAAATTTAATTGTATTTAGTATTTTTAAATAATAATTTATTAATAATATAGGGTATATATTTATTATTTTTTTTTTGAATATTAATGGTGAGACCATGTCTCTGACTTTATTAAAATTTAATTTAATTCTTCTACAGTGAAAAGAAAATCTTTACAGAGAAAAGAATCTATTTAAATTTTATTTCCTAAGATAGCAAGAAAAGAAACCCAGACTAATTTATCTGTGGCCTAAATCAAATTTTCTCCAAATATTACAAAATAATCTAAATAGATATTCTTATTAAATAAATTTTTCTTATAATTTTAATAAAAATTGTTCTAACTTTTTCAATTCTAATAATAGTAAAATTATTATATTCAAATTAGTAGTTTCTAAGACATTTATATCTAAAGTTAGTTAACTTTTATTTACTTTTAAATAAAAACTATTATTTAATGATTTTATGATTATTAAAACTAAAAAGGCCTAATAAACAACTTTTATTAAGACTAAAAAGAAGTTTTCTTAATAACAATATTTCTTTTAAAATACTTTTAAGTTTTAAAATAGTATTAGCAAAATAGAAATAGAAATAGCAATTTTTTAAAAAGGAAAAATCTAATTTTACATGTAGTATATATATATGGGTATTAATTAATTGATTTGCAAATTTGTGTAATATGCAAATCAAACCAATTTTTATAGAATGAAAAGTTAGATATTGCCTAAAGTTAGAGTAAAGATAAATTTGAATAGGGGTGGAGAATAGTTTATACCAAAATTTCACGAAGAATTTTTTTATTAGAAGCCAAATGGTAGTTTCATAATCAAAATTTTGAGATATCGGCTAGCTTTTTTATATACCTGTGTATAGTGATGTATGTTTTGACTATCCTGCCACTTTTTTGAAAATGTCCAAAATCTGAAATATTAATTTTAGTTTTAACTATTTAAAATATTTTTATAAAAAATATATGATTATATATTCTATCTAATGTTCTACAACTTTATTTAGGAGATTAAAACAGATTATTATAATAAAATTTTGAATAAATTAGCTTTATTTTTTGTCAAAATGTTCTAAAATGTTTAAATACTATATTTCAAAATATCCTGTATATATCACTGCCTGTGTATAAACACCCATATACAATTAGAAATTGTCTTTTAAAAATATTGTAATAATTAAAAATATTTTATTTTTTTTTTTTAAAAAAAAAAGGTCTATTCTCTATTTTTTTTATTTAATAGTTGAATATACATATAACAAGTACATAAAGAGAAAACTATATTAAAAAAAATAAAGGTAAGAGCTAGTTTACTTTCGATCTATTCTTTGCTAGAATGGTCATTAGACCTCTAGTCTTTGATCAAAAAAATTAAAAAAAGACTGTCCATACATTATATATTGGTAAATTTTGTTGTGTAGAAATATGGGAATAGGTAGTTTGGTTTTTGTATTGTAGGAGATTGAAGCAAAGGTGGTAGTAAAAAGATTGGGTCATGATGCATTGCTCTAGATATAAGCTATATCTTCTTGTAAATCACAATAATAATGTTGTGATAGATAAGTGGTATATATTTATATTTATCTTTATTCCTCTCAAAGGAAGTTAAGGTTTCTTCAGTAACTAATTTGAGAGGCATCTTTTTGTCAACATGAAGATTGATAAAGGTCTGAGTAAAAGTATCCAAGTAGAAGTGAGGTATTTCTACCTTGCAGGAGGTTTTCTGTATAACTTGTATGATTAGGGTTGTAAGATGCAAGCGGTTCTGACTGCAAGTTAGAAGATAAGCAATATCTTCAGAACTGTTAAGACACCTTGGGCAGTGGTAGTCAGGATATTTTGTAGCATTCTTCTAATAGAGTAGGAGATATATAGGCAGTTCTTCTGAGAGGAGTTTAATCTTAAGTTTTTTATAGCTAAAAAGAACAGGTCAGTGTTTAGAGCTAGTAGTCTTTTGCCATATGTAATGTATTGTAGTATTTGTATCTAGTTAATATTCTCTTGGGCTGCATGCCAATTTGCAATTCGTTGTTAATTAAACCAAGTCAGTTAGTTTGTAATTTGATATACTTGTTTTAGTATATTCTTTAGTAAATATATACAGAGGTTGCCAAGAAGTCTTAGGATAAAGCAGTTATATAAGAAGTCTTAGAGTATAGAGTCCAGAATGAAAATAGTGTTTGTGGTTTCTTGAATTTTGGTATCTTTATCGAAGATGGTATTGAGCTCTCAGTTATAGGTTAAAGATTTTAGTATTAGCAGAAGATAGATATACTGTTGCTTATCTAGTACAGAATAGTTGTATAGCACAACTATATGTGCAGAATTGATTAAATTTACAAAAGAGAGATTATTTGTATAGATCTTAATAGAGGTGCATGGGTTTGTTGTTGTGAGAATAAAATTCAATAAGGTATATATGAAGGCTAGAAACTAGAAAATAGCCAAATGGGTATGAGTATTTTGGAGGTGATATTTTGTGACTATATAGTGGTTGTT